GGTACGGTACGGTATATACTTCTTTGGCTAAAACCTCTTTTTGCTGGGTTTTGGTCACGAACTAATAACTAGAAGGATAAATGGGTAGAACTAAAATAGGAGAAGCTCTCCGATTTCTATTACAAATGTGGTAGGTTGGGGCACTTGGAGAAAATATGTGGGGAGGATAGGATCATGTCTCTAAAAGATCCTTCACAGCCAATGTGTGGGAAATGGAATAGAACTACACAAGTGAAGGAAGTGTTGAATAAGTCTTTAGTTGTCTGTTTTTTATTGTCCTATTCTTCAGCTATATGTTGGGTATGTGTCTTTGTGTTTCTTAATTATTAGCAGTACATGTCTTATTTGAATCTAAGTGGATGAGTAGTTGCTATTTTATTGCTTAATTCACTTGTAAGGCCTTTTTTGTCAGTTGAATAAGATGTACAGAAGCATTTTCTCTTCCAATTTACTCATGTTTTCTACCGTCTTTAAATTTCTTTCACTTGCTCAATTTGATTATGCCCAACTGGTGTTTGATTTAATTCCTCGAACATTGTTCAATTTGGAGCTTTTTCAACTCTATTTTTTTTTATGCTAGGGACACGGAGAGATTGAGGAATGCATATAGGACTAGTTCTAGTAGCTTGAACTTGATCTATCCCCTTGTTATGAGCTCCAAAGGGAAAGGTTCTAGGCCTAGTAAGTTGTTGGACCCCCTAGATGTTTCTAAGAGTGATTGTCATATGTCCTTTCCATAATTTTCGTGCAAAACTAGTTACCCTAGGAAGGACCCTAAGCACAAGTTCATCTTGTGTCCTCTCCACAAGGGTTTTGCTATATTAAATTGGGGGTTTAACAAAAAAAATTGTGAACTAAAAATTGGGCGATTTTGGTTACTCGATAATTTTGATGTGCCATTTGTACTTTCATTTTTTTGGGGAGTGGACTTGTCTTTGCCACCTTATTTAGGGTTGAATTTAAGGATTTTGCCATATTAAATTGGGGGTTTAACAAAAAAAAAAAAATTGTGGACTAAATATTGGGTGATTTTGGTTATTCGATAATTTTGATGTGCTATTTGTACTTTTATTATTTTTTTGGGTGGACTTGTCCTTACCACTCTATTTAGGGTTGAATTTAAGGGTTTTGCCATATTAAATTGGAGGTTTAACAAAAAAAAATTACATAATAAATATTAGATGATTTGGATTACTCAATAATTTTGATGTGCTATTTGTACCTTCATTTTTTGGGGGGTGGACTTGCCCTTGCTATTTTATTTAGGGGTGAATTTAAGGATTTTTCCATATTAAATTGGGGGTTTAACAAAAAAAAATTGCGAACTAAATATTAGGTGCTTTGGGTTACTTGATAATTTTAATGTGCCATTTGTACCATCATTTTTTGGTGGTGGACTTGTCATTGCCACCTTATTTAGGGGTGAATTTAAGGGTTTTGGCATATCAAATTGGGGTTTAACAAAAAAAAAATTACAGACTAAATACTGGGCGATTTGGGTTATTCAATAATTTTAATGTATCATTTTTTTGGGAGGTGAACTTGTCCTTGCCACCCTATTTAAGGCTAAATTTAAGGGTTTTGCCATATTAAATTGCCATATTAAATTGGGGGTTTAACAAAACAGGAAGTTGCAGACATAAGCGCCTATATGAGACAAGTAAAAGTCTGTGTGATAAAATTGTTAATTGTTATAATATTTTACCATTTATATAAGCTAACCATCCATTTAAAAGGAAACCCTATCATCTTCTCCACTATTCAAGCACTCTTCTCGCTGATGGCTCCTTTCCCTCTTCTTTGCTCTGACAGTTTCCTTCCTTTATCCAACTCTCTAATACATTCCTTTCTCTTCTCGACTCCTCAATAACTTCTGATGTCTCTTCTCTTTCCACCACCATAGTTCTCCTTGTTGGCCATTTGGGGTCTGCTTTCATAAAACTTAGCGTCTCTGATAGCTTCCTCCGACTTTGTATTCTGTATGTTCTTTAACCACTTAGGATTTGGCACCTTTTTTCGTACATAATTTTGATTTTACCTTTGTTTGAGTTTTATTTGCTGATGTACTTAGTTCATATATTGTTTTGAGTCATTTCCCTAGCCAATTGTTATTTGTTTGATTTAAATTTGCTTTTACTGATTTGGAATGTTGTGATCTGTATATTTTTGTCCTAGGGAATTCTTTTGTCTTCCTACATTTGTAATTGCAATGAACTTAAGAGCTCCTTGTTGTTCAAATCTTCTTGAGTTAACTTGCAAAGTTTCGAAGTTGATCCTCGGAGTAGACACTGCTTTTGGGGGCTCATTATCAAGAACTTCAGGGCTATGCCTCCTTCCTCTAGGGGCTCATTATCAATAAATTAGAATTTCAACCATTGGTTAAAAAATTTTGATTTAAGATCAAAATTACAATTTAAATTTTTATTATGTCAAACAACTAATCTTTTAATGTAAAAAAACTTCTAACAAATATAGATGTATTATAAAATCTTAATAAATATAGGATTTAATTTCTTTTCAAAGGTGATTGGATGCATTACCTAATTAATTTTGATAACACATGGGTATGATCATGTATTATTGTGTTAAGACCACAAAAATTTTTCTTCTTATTTTGTAAATTATTAGTTATGATATTTAAAAATATTAACATACAAATTAATTTTAATTTTTTAAGTAATAAATATTAATTTTTTTATCATTTATCAACTAATAATTATAATTATAAACTATTTTTAATGGTAAACAAAATAAAATTAATATTTTAAAATACAATATTAAAAATCTTCCTGCACTACATATCTATGAAGAAGTTATTTATAATGGTTAGTCCTCTAACCTTGACTTTTGGTATTCAAGTCCTTTAGAATCTAAGTAGACTAGAATAAAATTTTCAGCTTGAGAAATTGAACATTGAGAGGGCAGTTTAATTCCTAATTCATTCCATGGAAAGTATCATTTAGTTAAGTGCTTTTTCTTAAACTATCTTGTGGTTTGTGTTTTGAGAAGATTGCCCTTTTTTATTTAGAGGGTGGCTACTAGGCTATTTTGTTTGTGATTCTTAAATTTACATTTGTCAATCGATTTTCTTACTTGTTATATTATATTTCCATCATGCTGCAACTTGCCCTTTCATTTAATATAATAATGAAAAGTTCATAAGATTCTTGTATTTTAGTTGTGGCTTCATGTCTTAATCTTTATTACCATTTAATTACTGTGTTTCATAGTTAATTTCTAGATGAATTAAGTTATTAGACTTCTTTAGAGTGTCTTGCATTTTTCTTCTTGCGTCAGTTTTAGTTTCTATGCATGAAACCAGGTTCTATGCATGCTAAAATGGTTTGCATGTTGTTCTTGTTGTCTTCTAAGGTTACTTATTCTTGTCTTGGCACTGAGAGTCAATTAGGATGTCTCATTGAAGCTATTTATTATGCCTTGTATTCTTTAGTCTTGCTAGCTCTGTCTCATTAAAGCTTTTGATGCATTCAGTTGTAAAAATCAGAACAGGTTTCTCTGAAGCTGTGTGCCCAAAACCAGATTTGTTGCCTCGCAGTCTCCTCCATAGCAGCGTACGTTTGGAGATGGAATATCGGAGTATGAATTTCCCTACATAGACCGGTAATCAGATCCACCTCTGGTTGCAGCACTGCTTTTGCCTGCTCCAAGATCAGAGAAACAATCACATCCATATTTGGAACAACAAACTGACTAAGGAATTGAAAAGCTTAGCCAGCCTTCGAACAGAAAACCAGTTAGGCATATATTTAATAATAAATGCCCAACCAACAAGACCGTGCGATGGCAGACTAAGGAATTGAAACTAAGGAATGATGGTAATGGTTATATATAGGAGTATTAAAGAAATTAAATCCTATATTTATTAGGATTCTGTATTACTACGTCTACTTATTAGGAAAATCTCTAGGTTTTAGGCAGATAAGAGATCAGAATTGTATGTTTATTAGGATTCTATATTAATTCCCAAAAAAATATGTTTTCAAGTCCGATTAAAAAAATAAAGTAGAAACAAGAGTATAAAATTATTAATTGTTGATTCTTTAAGAATATTTAAATATTTAAATTTAATTATTAATATTTAATAAAATAAATTTTTAAATTTTAAATTAAATTTTAATTAAATAAAAAAATATAATTTAAAATTAAAATTCTAATATATTTCAAAAATTGAAATTAATATGCACTTTTCTATATAAATATATATATATATATATATACATAAATTTTTTTAACTAGTTGATCTGGAAATCTACATTTTCATAACACGTTTTTAATCCTGATTAGATTTCTGTAACGAAGAAGACGAGCTCAGCTTCTTCAAGGAAGCTAACGCTGCCAACTACCACTTTGGCTATATCCAGATTCAAGCAATGAAGAAGACGATCAAGTTCAGAATTACAGTTATTTTCATGACTGTCATAGAGCAAAGCCTGTAAGATTTTCATTTTTTTTTTTTTTTTGTGGATTATGAATGCATTAATGATGGCGACTCTGTTTTTAATATAATAATTGCATTGTACTACTTAATTATCGTTGTGAATCCGACGACCATAATTCCATAACCAAAGATGGGTAAAAGAACTGCTGAATTATTGAGTAAGGTCATTAGAAGTCTAGAACACAGCTCCAGCATTAGGAAGCTAGTTCCTGGTTTCATTCATTAAATTTAAGAGATACAATCCCAGGTTTTTGCACGTATAAATATGTCAAAGAATAGAATAGACAAATCAAACCACTGACTATGAATTACATTTAAAATCCCTACCATCTTCGCGAACTGAGAGACCCAATTGCAGGCAAAAAAATCTGGTCCACAGCTTTGTTCCATAGGAGACCAAAGTCTGAGCCAAACTGCTTTCCACTCACCTGAAAGACTGTCAAAGTTAGACCTGATGCAATACAGAGAATATCATTATGATGATGAAACAGTTACACCTTCAATTTCCCCTTTTTCATGCTGCAAGTTTAAGCTAACGCATTGTTTATTTAAGTGAAGAATTTCAAATAATATTGTACTGTTAAGTTAGAGAATCCATCTCATCGCACCCTGTGAGTTGTGACCATCAGAATGTTCAGCTTACCTCATGAAAACAAGCACAAGTGATAAGGTAAAAGATACCAACGATTTGTTAATCTGAATAAAAAGAGTTTAATTCTCTTTAATTAAAATCTTGAGTTCAATGGAGAAACAGTTACTGGGAGAATTTTCCTTAATAGCTCTGAGGTAATTCGATTTTGAATTAATCGGACTCAATATAATTATAAGATACCGGTAGGTTAATAAAAAAAAAAATAAAAAGCAAAAGATTTTGTTTAGGACATGGAAAGCACTAAAGCTAAAGATTGCACCAAAATTTAAAAAAAAAAATCAAATCTTCTTCCCTATTTCTTAATAATTTTCGAAGGAAATTTTGATATTCAGATATAATACAAGACAAAAAGAACCAAAATAAGTTGATATGGCAAAAGCAAATCTTGGATCTCAATAAAATGCTGAATTGAACCAATCTCTAGGTCTAGGGTTTCAGTTTAAGATAGATACGGAAAGAAAAAATGCACCTTAGATTGAGTGGCGATTTTGGATCTCTCGTCGGAAATCGAATCGTAGATCCGTTTGCGCTGCTCCAAAACGACGATCCCCACAGATGCGCTTCCCAGCGCAGCACCCAGCAATCGCTCCTATCCCAACAGAAAATTAACACCCAAGACCAAGAGATGCAAAGAGAAAGAAAGAAAAAAAGACGTTCACCTGAGCTAGAACGCTGATCATGGTGTCTTCGGCGTCGGAAATCGGAACGGTTGGGATGAAAAAGGAAAGGTAGATGGAAAGAGGACCCGTTGAGGGGGGGAACAAGTTCGCGGATTTAACGATGTCGTTTAATAAATGGCCCCGTTCTGAAATTTTAGATTTCACTGTGAAGTAAGAGTATGCCGTTGGCCCATATTAAGGCCCATTCCCATGATAGTTGTTATTTTGGGGCAAAAACGGTAATTGGATACAATTTTTTTTTTTTATCAATAAGAATTCATTTACAGTTATGTTTTACTTATTATATTTATATAAAATTTTAATTATTTATCTTTTAATATTTAATAGTTAAAATTTATTATAATTTTTTAGATAAAAAATAATTATTTTTAATAAATATAATAAAAAATAAATATATTCAACTGTTAAAAATATAAAAATGAATAGATAAAATTTTATATAAATATAATATATAAGATTTGCAATATAAGTGAATATAATTTCTTTTATATATATATTTAAGTATTTTATAGTGACATTAGATTAAGGAAGATGTGTTTTATGGTCTAAACAATTTTTATGAAAAAAAAACCGGAATCTACTATTTAATCACTGTTGCTACGCAGAGCAGTTAACTATGGGAATTGAATCACCCACAAAAGATAAATTATCTGTGGCCAGGAGTGGAGGATGTACTTATTAGTACCCATCCATGACCATGTTCGTGAAAGGGAGTGGTGATAATTGGTACTGTGAAGTAAAGGGAAGGAGATTGAAGAAATAGTAATAAAAAAACAAAAAGAAAGAAAAAATGAAGTGCAATGGTAAGGCAAGGGGCATGTGAGCGGCTGGCAGTAACCCAACAATGCTAATGTCATGTGACTGTCCCTGGCCCTGCTGCTGCTGCTCTTGAAAATGTCCCTTGGTGAGATGCCTGTCCCCATTGATCATTTCATCCAATTGGTGCCAGAGCCATCTGATTAGGATTTATCATTTACACCACAAACCTAAAAGACTCCCATTTCCCTCACTCTTCCTCGGGCATTTGCTTTCTCCCAATATGTCCAGAACCTGTTTGATATCATTACCCAATGAGCCAAGTTAGCAGACCCCCTTGGAGGGTAGGCCTCGGCATGTTTTCTCAGGATTCAAAGTCTGCAGCTTTCATCACTTTTTGGCTCGGTTTTGTTTGTTTAAGCTTTAAATGGATTGAAAATGCTAGACATGGTTCAGCAGCATTCTAAAGCCTGCAGCTTTCACCGCTTTTTGGCTGTTTCTTCGATTGTTTGAATGAAGGAGATCAAATGGTCGTAAATTTGCTATTAGTCCGTTGTGAAAAGGGTCATTCAATTCACATTCACCGTTGCATGTGAAGAACCTAGAAGCTCAACTGCATTTAGAAACTTGAAACAGACAACAATTGTTTTGCCTCCTACTCCTAGGAACATCTGGTCCTACTCCTTTAGACTTATGTGACCATTAAATGTTTGTGTTTGTCCTTTGTTGCCTGTCTTGGAACTCTGCGTTTTCACTACATGCCCACTGAAGGGGGGCCTCTGTAAAAGGTAACTCTGCTAAGCTTTTTCTCTCTTGACATGATGCCCCCTACAGGGCATGGACAGCTTTAATGGCACTGGTACGTTCTTCTACTATTATTTTTTGCTTTTGCGTTTTCAATCAATCGATACATTCTGTTAATGATTATTTTCAATTTGGACATGTTTCCCTGCACACCAGTTTGAGGATATCTTAATCTTACGTCCTTTTAATTCATCAATTCTAAAATTCCCTGGTTGCACTGGAAAAGTTGAAAGATTTTCACAAAAGCAAAATGATTTTCACTTTCTTGGTGCACATACAGTTTGAGAATCATATCTGTAATCATTTGTCTACATCCTTTCCATTGATACATTTCCATACACTATTGACTATTCTTTCTCCCCGATTTGCTTGGCTGATGTATTCTTTTTCCTTATAAAACTCAAAAATCTAGTGAGATTTTAGAGTATAAAACTTTGGCCGGATTGATTATAACTAATACAGTTTCAGAAATCATTTGCTGTTCAATTCAGTCCAGTGGATGGTCTGCCAAGCATTTTGCTTTGATTATACTGGCTAACAACTTTTTCAGATTCCTTCTGGGAATCTTTTGGGATTTGGGATTTGATTCTTTGTGAAGTTGATATTTACATAGCATTTTTAGCCATTTTAGTGAAATCGAAATGAAGGTATCTGTCCACTTCAATGACAGCCTTTTGTTATCTTCTCCAATTGCTCTTCTCCCTAGCTTAGCTGGAATTTTTGTCAAGGAGACCATTGTTACTTAATCAGAATACTTTTTTATGTGAAATTCTCAAGTGATCAGTCAGCTTTTCTAGTTCCTTCCAGCTCATCACCATACCATAGGTTTTTATCACCAGCAAGTAACATAGAAATTTGAGCTACATGAGTCTTCTTTCTTCTTGTCATAATGCAGTCAAGTTCCTCTATGTACTCTAGCTGATCATTACTGTAATGAAACTAGCCCATTCCCATATATTTTCCTCTTAAGATCTTGATAGTTTTGTTCCTTGTCAAGATACATACTTCTTGATGTCCCATGAGTTTTTTTTAGAACTTTTCCTCTCTATTTCCATAGTCAAGTCTCTTTTAGGGAGTTGTTAAAATGTTCATCCACAGAAGATCTCATAGATGAAGCTATTATTTAAGGTTTTAGTAGTTGACTTAAGGGAGGACTTTGTGTGTTTCAGCTTCTCACGTTGTTGCAACTTGAAACCATTTAGAGGATGAGGGACTGTAGTTGGGAATGACGTTAATATGATACTCTTTGTGGTACCTGAAAACTGTTTGAACTTTGAAATTAATTGCCTACTTAAGGCTTCAATTGAGTGAGGCTTCTTGACGATGCACTTGTTCTTGTGGCAAAGACTGCCTCTCCTTATTCTTATTCAACTCTTGGAGCCCAACTATACAAGTCACAAACTCTATGGTAAGCTTTCTCTCTTTCCTTGCAGTTCCACTTCTCTGACTAGTGTGATTTTGGAACATTAGTTAGAGATTAATAACACCACCATATTCATCACAGCTTGATTCTGCTAGATTTCCCAGGTTGATGAAGTAATTCCTTTTTGTTTTTCTCTTTTTGCACTGACTTACTCTGTGTCTCTGATACATTTTGATAGAAGATATGGTTTATTGCTACTCTTACTTGTTTGCTGTTGGTACAATTACGATAGAAGACTGATTTGTTTTTGACTTTTCTTCAGCTGAAGCTTTGCTTATTTGCAAAAGCAGAGTCTGCTCTCCTCAACATTCCAGCCTTAGGTCTGGGCGGTTCCCCTGCTTGAGACAATGGGCATTTGCCAACTGTTATGAACAAAAAGATCCAGAAGTTGTTACCTTGTATCCTCCCTCCCTTTGTCCTACACAAACATGTATAGATTCATGTTTAATTGTTGATGTGTTTCCTTGATATTGCTTGCCAAATAAAGAAAAGAAAATGAATTTTTAGATTCATACTTGATGATGAATTTACTAATAATTTTCTCTGATCCTATTCTTCCACAGGATTCCTGGAATCTCCTGTTGTCTTTCTTTTCCAGCAAGATTAATTCAATTGTCATCAGTTGCTTCAGTTTTGTTTCAATCAAGCTCTCCAATTCATTTACAAGAACAACTCTACAGATCAAGAAACAGGAGGATAGCAGCTTCCATTGATGCAGACAACAGTGTTCCAACACTCACACCTGTGCAAGCAAATGATCTCAAGAAATCAAAAAAGCAGACAAGTGCTGCCATAATTGGGGGTGCCAGTGGAGCTCTGCTTGTGATCATTGTTTTGGTGATTGTTTATATCTGCTTGATGCGTGTTAAAAGGTTCATGAGGAGAACATCTGAGACAGGATCTTCCATACCATCTTCTCCCAGTAAGTTGAGCTTGTTGGCATATGATAAATGATTCAGAATTTTGGGGGATGCAGTTTTATAAAAATGATTAATGCTTTTGCTTACTCAAGTAATTGTTCAAGAGAAAGAACTAGAAAATATAAACTACTTACTGGGCTTCAGGACATGATGTGAACCTGAATAAACCATTTATAAGATAGTAAGGAAGTGAGTAAACCTGCTAATAGTGTTTCTTATCTTAAAATTAACTGTTCTTGTTTTCTTTTTGTTTTTGGAGCAGCTGAGTTGCAAAGGGTTAACACTTCCCAATATCCCGGTGCTGTCTCTCCATATGGTCCACGAAGTTTAAAGCAGCTAACAATGATGGAATTGAAACATGCTACATCCAATTTCAGTGAAAGTAATATCATTGGGGAAGGTATTTTCGGCTTAGTCTATAAGGGATTGCTTCAAGATGGATCCATTGTGGCAATAAAGAGATGTCTACACATCCCTGTCCAATCTTTTCTTCAGAAGGTAAATTTATATCAGATTTTGATATAAGACAGTCTTTAAGGTCTCCCTTTTCTGGCATTGCAATCTGCAATTAGGCATAAAGTTCCATTTTCCTGAGGATTAGAGACTGACCTGAAACAATATGGTGAAGAATTGGAGCTGTCTTTTGTGTTTATTCCCTTGATTTAACAAATTCTGGAATTTAATTGGTTCATTTGCAAACGTCTAATATTATTTGTCTTGCGTAATACTCCTACTTCTTGAATTGTTTGGAGATACTCAATGCATGTCTTGCTAGTTTCAATTTACCTACTTTTTATTGAAAATATTCATGTTATTCCTTCCTATATTTTATGTTTCCAGGAACAGAAATGTATTCATTTGTCAATTTTCTGAACAAAAGTAATTTGTTTTAGCTCTTTATTGTTGAGCAACTCTATTCATTTAACTTTGTCTTTGACTCTTGGTGCAATGCAGGTGAAGCAAATTGCTCAAGTAAGCAACAAGCATCTTGTCAAGCTTGTTGGTTATTATGAAGCTAGCAACCAACAGTTACTTGTCTATGATTATATCCCTAATGGAAATATTGGAAATTACCTATATGGTAATGGAATAATAAATGTATTAAACATGTGATATATATAGAAGTGTGTGAGCATGCCTGTATCCACATATTATGTTCTGAGGTAGGAATTTTTTTTTTTTTTCCTTTTCTTTGTCCCTTCTCACAGATAATGAAGGCTTACCTACTGGACAGCTAAATATGAGGCAAAGGTTGTTAATTGCACTTGGCGCTGCCAAAGGTATGCCTACGAATAATATTCCAACCTCACTTTCTTGCATGTTGAAGTTATTAGCCTTTTGAACCTCACTTTATTTTGATCAGGACTTGAACATCTTCACAGTTTGGTTCCTCCTCTCCTGCACATGCATTTCAGATCCAGCAATGTTCTTCTAGATGAAAATTTCACAGCCAAGGTTTCTGACTTTGGGTTATCCAAATTAGTCTCTGAGCATCATTCTGGTGCATCATCTTCAGCATTTGACTGCTTTCTTGATCCAGAGTATGTAATCTTTACAAATGCATTTGCTTAGCATAGACAACAAAAGTTCATGTGAATGTATCTTTGAAGCCTAATCTATCCTTTTCTCTGAAGGTTATATTCATCAAAGAATTATTCAGCACAGAGTGATGTCTACAGCTTTGGGGTATTTTTGCTAGAGTTGATTAGTGGACGTGCAACAAATTGCAGAAACCAATTACACTCAGAGGCAAACCTAGTATTACAGGTTTGCAGAATTTATCTTGCTTGAATATTTTTTCTCTGTCACTAGTTTCATCATTCTAGAATAGTTGCCATTTCAACTGAGCCTTAGGCCAGCCTTATGTCCTGCTGCATCTCAAATGGTGTTGGTGCAGGATCATTTTATATTTTAGTGACAGTATCTTTAAGTCCCACCATATGACATACCAGAAAAACATGAAAATTTCGTTTTCTCAATCTCAAACATATTTTCAATTGAAAAAAGGGAAGAATGGAAGCAACTTACTAGTGTAAATGCTCTCTGATTCTTAAACTACCAATTTTCTTTTGAAGGCCAAGGAATGCAGTGATGTAATCAGTTTTGTTGACCAGACATTAGGAGATGACTGTATACGTGCTGCAAAACAGATTATGAAGTTGGCATTGCAATGCATCAATATGAGTCTCAGGAGACCATCCATGAGAAATGTTGTCAAAGAACTGGAACGGATTCAAGAGAGAGAAGTGGGTCATTTGCATTTGGAATTGGGTGAAGAGATAGGTGCTGTAACACTAGGGAGTGAGCTCTTCAAGTGAGCTTTTTGCCATGTAACATCAATTCTTTCATTGAATTCATGATAGGATGTAAGTTGTAATTTTGAAAGACAAAAAGCAAAATTCAATAACTTGGTCAAAGAAATTATTCAAATGAAAATTTTCATGGTTTTTTTTCTTCCCTCTCAATGTTCAATTTCTCAAGCTAAAAATCTTATTCCTAGTCTGTTTATATCGTTTTGTGCTGACTTGCAGCTCATTTGTGTATATGTGGAAATGGACAATGAAGATTTTGGAAGGCCTGTTGCAAATTGTTTTGGTGTCACTAGGGATGAACCCAAAGTAATTTTGCGCTTTCCCTTTTCCCCATTTTCCTTTTGTATGTGTATGTCCATAACTGTTGGGTTGGTTGGAGGGATGGTGGGGACTGGGGAGTATGATTTATATTTGCAGTGAAATTGACATTCTCTCCCGCATTCCTTTATTGTAGGTTCTTGCATACACAGGAAATGATGATGGGAAAAAATTGTTCATGGATGCTGAAGTGAACATAGATAAAATTAAGGTGTAAGGGCATGTTTAGTTTAACTTGTGAGAGTTTTTGCTTTTTGAATACTATTTATGAGTGATAAGTTTAAATTTTTATTGGATGAGAAATTTAAAAGTTGTTTTTAGAGATAAAAAAAGTGAGTAAAAATTAAATAAAAAAAGATTTTATGAAAAGTTTGTATTCGAAACTTTTAAGTTTTTATTGTTTTAAATCTTTTTAAGGTTAAAAAAATTTAAAAATGTAAGTTTTTTTTAAAAAAAATTTAAACTTATGAAATATAAATAGTGTCAAAAAACTGAAGTATTTGGAAGCTGAACCAAATATGCTCCAAGTCTCCGTCATTCTTTTCTTTCCTTTCTATTTGAGTGCATTTGATAATGTTTAACCTAAACAATATGAATGCTCTACCATTCCTTAGGCCTTTGGGGAGGATTTCCTGGAAGACAAGCTTAAGCCATTCTACAAATCAGATCCAATTCCTGAAACTGTAAGTTATTGTTTAATAATTATCTAGTTAATTAATTTGATGTTTTGGTCCTGTAATCTAGTTTTGTTTCTTTCTTCATCCCTTTTTTGATTCCAATGGACAAAGAATGACGAAGATGTGAAAATAGTGGTTGGTAATAACTTTGATGAAATTGTTTTGGACGAGTCCAAGGATGTCCTTCTTGAGGTGCTGTTTCATCCCAACACACATATGGATTAAACCCTTTTTTATATCTTTATTTGGATGATGTTACTCATTCCATTTGTTGGGGTGGATACCAGATCTATGCACCTTGGTGTGGGCATTGCCAAGCCTTTGAGCCAACATACAAGAAGCTTTCCAGACATCTACGGGGGTAAATCTCAAGAAGCTTTCATGTATCATCAAATAGGTAGAACATAATAGATATAAGATAGACTAAAAACTCCATCAAACCAACCATCTCCTTAATTTCCCCATTCCCTTCTCCTCACAGAAAAAGGTAATAAACAAGAATGTGTAACTGTAAAGCCACCACTGATTCTCTGAGTTCAACTCTTAAATTTTGTCCCCTTAACCTTATGAATCTAATAAATGGCATTGGCATCATTATACAGCCTTGCAATTTTGGATTTTATGTACACAATTCATAATAGATGCTCTAACAAGCATTCATGTGCTGCCTTTTCTTTTAATTGCATGGGATGATGGGTATCTGTCAAGGTTGAATAATTAACATAATAAAGAGTATTTATTTATCATTAATATATTAAAAAAATGAACCAACGAGGGGTTGGATCAAGTGGCAAGTGGCTTGTTTCAGTTTAAGTAAGATCTTGAGTTCGAGACCTTGTGTATGCAGCAATCTTCGTTGGGAGACCCACCCACCATTCTGGTGCGCCACAGCTGGTCAAGTCCGGAGTAATTGGGGCGAAGCCCCGGATACCGGATGGGGAACCAAAATAAAAAAAATATATTAAAAAAATGAAAACTAACATTTATTCTATCAGTTATTCAATTAAAAATATCTACATAATATAAATATTAAAATTAATATTAGTTTTTATATTTTTTATATAAGTTAATGTTTAAAAGTGCATTTAAAGTACGAAATTAGACAAAGTATTCTTTTAATTGCATGGGATGATGGGTATTTATCAATGTCATTAGAAAAAACCCTTAATTGCAATGCTTTTTTCCAGCACAAATTGTTGCAATAAAGAGTGTTGTAAATGCACCTAAACCTCACGGGTTAACGGTTATAAATCGATTTGTAAAATGCATCCTTCAATCCGAAAATTGGGATTTGAAGCTCTCTACCTTCAAAATTATAAACCTATTAAAATGGAATGTTGTAAATATTATTTTAATATAATTTTAGTGCAAACTATCATTTCTTCCTTCTCAAATCACAATAAGGAGATGTGAGTACCAAGAAAAGTAGACGAAAGAAATAATAAATCTGCAAAGGTTAGTAATATAATGATTGAGGATCCCAATTTTGGAAGTATAATATGAGTTGTATAGCCATTTTCCATGTATCTTGCAATGGATGAAAAGCTGATCATGTGATTTTCAACCATTTGACCCGCCGTCATATCCTAATAGATTAAACAAAATCATCTTTTTATGATTTCTACGCCTTCTTTTGCTCACAGTTGAATCCTGAATTGAGGTGAACAAATTTTTGTTGGATCGAGTTTGAAGAAAGTTTATTCTCTGTGGTGTAGGTTTTGCAAAATGCAAAAGTCCCAGGGGGCCGAACCACAGGTTGAAAATTGCTTGATTTGCTTCACGTTATGTGGGGTCATGTGGTAAATTATTTACTAC